GGAGAAAATGGAAAAGAAGACTTGCTGAAAGGACCATTGAGCTTTTAGGCCCAAAAATTGTCCGATTTTCCTCAAAATTAAACTTTAAGATTACGGCAGCAGTGTGTCAATGGAGAAAATGGAAAAGAAGACTTGCTGAAAGGACCATTGAGCTTTTCGGCCCAAAAATTGTCCGATTTTCCTCAAAATTAAACTTTAAGATTACGGCAGCAGTGTGTCAATGGAGAAAATGGAAAAGAAGACTTGCTGAAAGGACCATTGAGCTTTTAGGCCCAAAAATTGTCCGATTTTCCTCAAAATTAAACTTTAAGATTACGGCAGCAGTGTGTCAATGGAGAAAATGGAAAAGAAGACTTGCTGAAAGGACCATTGAGCTTTTAGGCCCAAAAATTGTCCGATTTTCCTCAAAATTAAACTTTAAGATTACGGCAGCAGTGTGTCAATGGAGAAAATGGAAAAGAAGACTTGCTGAAAGGACCATTGAGCTTTTCGGCCCAAAAATTGTCCGATTTTCCTCAAAATTAAACTTTAAGATTACGGCAGCAGTGTGTCAATGGAGAAAATGGAAAAGAAGACTTGCTGAAAGGACCATTGAACTTTTCGGCCCAAAAATTGTCCGATTTTCCTCAAAATTAAACTTTAAGATTACGGCAGCAGTGTGTTAATGGAGAAAATGGAAAAGAAGACTTGCTGAAAGGACCATTGAGCTTTTCGGCCCAAAAATTGTCCGATTTTCCTCAAAATTAAACGTTAAGATTACGGCAGCAGTGTGTCAATGGAGAAAATGGAAAAGAAGACTTGCTGAAAGGACCATTGAGCTTTTCGGCCCAAAAATTGTCCGATTTTCCTCAAAATTAAACTTTAAGATTACGGCAGCAGTGTGTCAATGGAGAAAATGGAAAAGAAGACTTGCTGAAAGGACCATTGATCTTTTAGGCCCAAAAATTGTCCGATTTTCCTCAAAATTAAACGTTAAGATTACGGCAGCAGTGTGTCAATGGAGAAAATGGAAAAGAAGACTTGCTGAAAGGACCATTGAGCTTTTAGGCCCAAAAATTGTCCGATTTTCCTCAAAATTAAACGTTAAGATTACGGCAGCAGTGTGTCAATGGAGAAAATGGAAAAGAAGACTTGCTGAAAGGACCATTGATCTTTTAGGCCCAAAAATTGTCCGATTTTCCTCAAAATTAAACGTTAAGATTACGGCAGCAGTGTGTCAATGGAGAAAATGGAAAAGAAGACTTGCTGAAAGGACCATTGATCTTTTAGGCCCAAAAATTGTCCGATTTTCCTCAAAATTAAACTTTAAGATTACGGCAGCAGTGTGTCAATGGAGAAAATGGAAAAGAAGACTTGCTGAAAGGACCATTGAGCTTTTAGGCCCAAAAATTGTCCGATTTCCTCAAAATTAAACTTAAGATTACGGCAGCAG